TAGCGAGAGCCTTGAGTCCTGCAACCGATCAGTGAGTACCCGTCTATCGCTTATTATAATAATGCCGATCATATAAATAAGTTAAATAGTATTAATACTGAACTAATACTGATTGTAATAATAATTTTAATACTAATATTGTAACACTAACAATCGAAATGAGTAATACCAGTAAAAAATATGATAGAAATACAATAAAACAGTACAACGATAATACAATACTAATAATACTGCTATTACTAATAAGACAACCAAATTGCCCTGGTGCTGATACTAATACTAATGATGCTGATAGTGATATAAGAACATTAATAGTGATGAGAATCACACCACATTGGGCAGCACCGCCTAACTCCCAGTCCACGGATCAGCCGCTGAACACATAAGACGCAGTGGGCTGATGGCGTGGTCTTCTAAGCGTCAGTTGTTATTGCAACGAGCTATGAATTGTAGTTAATCGATAAAGCCGCAGACGACGATCACATATGGAACCCAATGATCCTGCAGAAAGGGGGCCGAAGATAAAGCTTGCCTTACAATGGTAGGTGCTATAGCAGCATACGGTATGTGGTGTGAATTCATGTTGGCGTCATCACGCGCGCTGTAGGTGCTTGTGAGGAGCGATATGATGATGTGGAATAGCTAGCGGCATTCTACCGCAGATTGTCATGGTGTGAAGTGCCCTAGTAGGTCCATGTCATGTGTTAATGCATATGGGCAGGGAAGATTGTATATCTGGGTCCCAGGCACTGGCTCACTAGTCTCCGTGAGATGGATTTGCAACTGACCGACCAGGTCGATGCGTAATGTGCATTTGCGGTGACCGTGAGGACAGGATATATCAGTAGGTTTCGAGGCGACGGAGGTGGTTGTGTTGTTTTCTATGTCGTAGCCCATTGTTGGATCAGGATTCCCCGCCAGAATCCAAGCTGGTAGTAGCTGGAAGACGGAGAAAAGCCGAGACCTCGACCGCCTTGAGCCAAAGGGCCGCGGGGGTGTCATTTTTCGTTGGTGATGTCGATATCGCGGTGAATTCTGCTGTCATGTGTGCGCATATAGTCTCATGCAATGCGTGAATGCAACTCTACATACTGCCGGTACTCGAAAGTGAACCCCAAGACACAACGGAACGAGTGAGCCCAGTACCGGTTGCTGAGTGACCGTGTATTCCTCGCGAAACGCTTCATGCGCCCAAGCACTTGTGTGTGAGCAACACCTACCACAGCGATAGCCACCTTCCACACACAAAAAGGATGATAACAAAACTGCCCGTCTACTTCCCCATCTTCTCATTCCTCACTGCATTTTCATCGTAGTAGCCCTCTTTTCAGACTCCACATTCCTCGCTTTCTAGCATACAAACCCCACTCTAAAATGATCTCAATTGACTACGGCTTGCTGACAGGCGGAATATGCACCAGTTAGTATCAAGGCCTGTGGAGAGTCTATTGAATGTTTAACAGCACACCGGTTAGTTCACTGCCATGTGCCGTATCATCTGATTTTAGGACGATGTTGTGGGTCTGTCGTGGCGGGAGGAGCGAGACTTGCGGAGAGCCATGTATGACTCCTTACGTCGGGTTCGCCAGGAGCAACGTCGTAGGCAACCGAACGCAGTTTCGAAGCCTCCGGAGGCGGGGATAAATAGTCAACGGAAGTTGCGCAGCTTCTCTAATTTGCCAAGCGACATCAGCAGCAGCAGCAGCAGCAGCAGTTCAGCCAATCGGGCGGTAATTGGAGACGAGCAACTATCGCCCATGCAATTCCCCAAATCGCCAATCCATCAGGTGAGAGTTAGGCCAGTTTTTACTTCTTCGTTTTAACTCATGCTTCTCTCAAGGCAAAAATAGACACCAATAAAATTTCCACCGAGGTCCTATGATAGCGCGAAGTGGTTTAACCTTCCAGGGACTCAAATGTGATGATTGTTTTTGAAGGCAGCCATAAGTTCTGTCTACTTATTTGCTCCCGGTTTACGAATCAGATCGGACTTGACCATTACACATACAATGGTTTTTTTGTATCAGTTACGTTACTTTTTTGTAGCCATTACACTTGACTGTTGGGGGTCTGATATACTCCGCCCTTGCTTTAACAAAATCTGTGTAAATACTTGACCTAGCTGTCAAGCCTAGACCAGCGGTACGTGAACGTCATGAATCGTCGCAAATCGTGACCTCGAAGGGGCCATCATTTATTCAGGCAGCGCCTGCTATCTATCGAGTTTTCGTCCTCATTTGTCGTTATGAGTGCTGTATGCACTTACAGCCTGTCTTTTTTTATAGTTGCAAGAATTTTTACAGTCGCTGTACTTGGAGTACTACAGGACTCAGTCCAAATCCCCAGTCCTAGGTAAAAGGTAGCAGGCACCTATGAAAGATGTTTATTGTGTTCAGGACTCAGTTGCTGTTTCAGTAGGCGGTAGCCGCTAGCGAAGCCAGGGCTGGTGCTGACTGCGTCCACCCAAGCCTAAGAAAGAATGAAACAGTGGTGGCAGTTGCTTAAGTAGGATGGCGGAGCATGTTCGAGTCTTCTCCAATCAGTGCGCGTAACACTACGTTAGGAGCGTGGTGTCTGATGGCGTAGGCTGTGTTGGCCGAAGGTGGGGGCGTATTCAAGTGGCGCTTGGGCAGACGCGACTACGTGGACGCATGTGGGTGCCTCGGAGTGCAGATCTGTCAAGTGTCTGCAGGTCAACGCGCCTGAAAGCGTTGACTGCGATAGTGCATGAACTTCCTGCAGTTGGCCTTGAACAAGGCAACCGGACACAGCAGTGTTGGGCGCCGGCTACAAACTTACCTTAATCCATTTCTTTCACAGTTGAAGATTTCAGCTTGAGATGCATTCTATGTAATTTCAACTCGTACCTAAACTCCCTGCCATTTCAGAAGCCGTTCTTGCCCCTGGCGAAGGATACTAAGGGGCGGGAATGCAGTCCGTCTGGCACATCTACCAACGTGATTCGAGGCAGGCGTCCCGTCCCGCGGCCACCTCGGATCCCTCCAACCTCCCCTTCTAGCCGACTGCTGCAGTTGAGTAAGAAGTTGAAGGCAAAAGCGGCTCGGCGGACGGCTTCGGTGGGTGTTCG